CACCCCGGCTCCCCAGCCCTGACCTTGGGCTCACACCCCAGCAGTCCCCACTCCATACCCCCGTCCCACAGCATCGCTGAGACCCGCCTGTCCTCCTGCTCTCCCTGGGACGGCTCAGCCGGTGGCCATCCCTTGGGCACCCCGCGCCAGATCCTGCACCCCGTCCCCCCGGCTGCCGGCCACTCTCCCCTATAAGGGCCGGGGCAGCGCGCGTGGCACCGAGCTGACCTCATGCCTTTGTGCTCTCTCCGGCATTGACTATAATAGGGAATGGGAGGAAGAGCCTCTGGCCCCCCGCCAGCCCTCCCGCCGCCCGCCGGGAATGCAGGACAATCCACCGTCTTCCCACTGGGCCACGCTGGGCTCAGGGACAGCTCAGGGGGACATTGCCACCTGGGGACAGGGCTTCCTCCGGGTCCCCCTGACCTCCCCTCTCTGTCCCCAGGCTGCAAGAGGAGATCCAGCTGAAGGAGGAGGCTGAGAACAACCTGGCTGCTTTCAGAGCCGTGAGTACTGTCCCCTTCATGTGGCATGGGAGCTCGCCTCCCCCTCCCACTCCCATCTCCCCCCAGCAGCCCAGTCCCAGCACCAGAGCATGACCCTGGGTGCAGCTTTGCACCTTCCAGCCCCCTGTGCATGGTCTCCACGCTCCCTCTGCACCCATCCTGCTAACCCTTCCTCTCCGTGTTCCCCCAGGACGTGGACGCAGCCACGCTGGCACGCATCGACCTGGAAAGACGCATCGAATCCCTGCAGGAGGAGATCGCCTTCCTCAAGAAGGTGCACGAAGAGGTAGGTCAGGAGTGGTCCCCTTTCCCATGGGCACCCATGGGGCCAGGGGATGGAGTGGGTGCCCTGAGGTGTCACCTTGCCCCCCCCAGGAAATCCGGGAGCTGCAGGCTCAGCTGCAGGAGCAGCACATCCAGGTGGAGATGGACATCTCCAAGCCCGACCTGACGGCTGCACTGCGGGACATCCGTGCCCAGTACGAGAGCATCGCTGCCAAGAACATCGCCGAGGCTGAGGAGTGGTACAAGTCCAAGGTGCAGGAGGTGGCGGGCTCCAGGCTGGCCCTGGCGTGGTAGGTCACCCATCCCGGTGGCCATTCCCGCTGACCCTGCTCTCTCCCCAGGTGTCTGACCTGACACAGGCGGCCAACAAGAACAACGATGCGCTACGGCAGGCAAAACAGGAGATGCTGGAGTACCGGCACCAGATCCAGTCCTACACCTGCGAGATCGATGCCCTCAAGGGCACGGTGAGCTGCGGGCAGTATTGGGGTGGCCCCCAGATTTTCCTGCAGGGACCTGCTGCTCTAGGACCTCTCTGGGATGTGGGGCTCTTCCCAGCTCTCGGAGTTGCTGCCATGGGGGGACTCATACCCCTAATTTGGGCTGCGCCTCCCCCGGTGGCAGTCTGGGCCTCCGTGAGGTTTTGGCAGGGCCCTGGGGTCAAAGCGCAGATTGCAAAAGGTGCTCCAGCATGGGAGGCTCCAGGCAGGCGGGCGCAGGGCTCGGGGTGTCTGGTTGCAGGCTGGGAAGGTGGTTGCAAACAATCAGGGCACAACAGTCCTGCTTTGGCACGGTCACGGTCACATGAGCCAGCCAGCAGCCACCAGCATGGCAGTGCCCACCCGGGGCAACTCCTGCACCTCTCCGTGCCCTCCTGCCGGCGTAGGATGGCTTTGCTGGGCAGCCTGGGCACCCGGGCAGAGGGTGCTGGGGTTGCCCAGCACCTGCCCAGCTTGCCCCTTGCCAGACCCTTCTGCCCAGCACTGGGTAGATGGAGAGTGCCAGGCACCTATCACAGTCCCACATCAGCTGGACCCAGCCCAGGGCTGACCGCAGCTCTCCTCAGGTCCCTGGCTCTCCCCTAGGACTCCCCAGCATCCCGAGCTCCCACTCCAGGTGACCCCTGATCCCTCCGGGTCCCCCGTTTGCTGAGCTCCCCTGTCCCCCCAGAACGACTCGCTGATGCGCCAGATGCGGGAGATGGAGGAGCGCTTCGCGGGGGAGGCAGGTGGGTACCAGGACACCATTGCCCGTCTGGAGGAGGAGATCCGGCACCTGAAGGACGAGATGGCCCGGCACCTGCGTGAGTACCAGGACCTGCTCAACGTCAAGATGG